GGCAACTTGTTTCACATTGACTTTGGCTACATTCTTGGAAGAGATCCCAAACCTTTACCACCACCAATGAAACTAAGCAAAGAAATGGTAAATATTGAATGTGACTTTGAGCTGTTTGAGTTATAGGTTTGAAAAAAAAAACCTTTATCTTGCGCTAATGCCAGGCTTTCTTGTCATTTTGGTTTTTGTTGTGTAAATGCAGTCAAAACACCTTGATACAGAGTGTAAGCCAATTGTCCAGAGTACAGAGTTTTCGTACTAAAGAGTTTAGAGTTATATCAGTATGAGGTTTGATTTCTTTATGATCAAGAGAACTGTTGATAATAGACAGGCGTTCATAAGGAAAGTTTGACTGTATCATTATGGTTTTGTATGTTGGTTCTACAGTTTACATCAAGAACGTGGAAAAACTATTTTCTCAAGACTATATAATGTTTTCGAAGAAAATGCAGGCCTTATATTAGTGGATTTTGTAATATTTTTACTCTTACATGCTAACCCTCCAGCTTGCCTTAAAATTGTTGTAAGGCTGGCAAGCTTACAAGTGCAAATTAATACAGTAAACACCCACAAGTAAGAGCCTGGTTCTCTCTTAGGCTAAAATTTGCCAGTTTTTAATAGGCCCCCCCTGTTTAGCCTAAAATTTGAAACAGGTTCTTATTTTCTAAAATCTGTAAAAAAAATGTACACTTGGGCAAATAAGATATGATGTACTTTATGTTAAGTTATGTTCTGTGGTCAGTGCTTCATTTCTTCTTCTTCATGTTCATTTTTAAACAAATACTAATTTGGTATGCAGATTTTATAACGAATAAGCTGAATACCACTTAATACTCTCAGTTTATAGCTACAATGTATTATTTTTTTTCTTCAGAAATTAAGAACCTGTTTAAGAACCTAAATAGCCTAAATTTGTGCTAATAAACTTGGGAAAATGCAGTTTCTTACTCACAAGTGTTTACTGTACAGTTTTAAGATCAGATAAGAGTGTTAATGATGACAATGCAATTGTTATCTTTTGTAACTCAGGTTGAAGGTATGGGAGGTGCATCCAGTGAGTTTTACCAAACATTTAGAAAACAATGTTTCACAGCATTTCTTCACTTACGAAGGTAATAATGCACAGCTGTAGTATTAACTTAAACAGTAATAAAATTTAATTAATGTAAGTACTATCATATGCTTGTCACTATTGGATGAACCATCAGACAAGTGTCTTTTTGCCTTGCATTTATACCAGATGCAATAACCTTTCACTTCAATCTTTTCTTTGTTAGCTCACATAGATAGAAGCCCTTGTTGTTTAATAGGCGGATAGCACATAGATCCACCAGAGAAATCATTACAATCCAGTGATTAAGTATAGGGAAACCAATTGCGATATCTAGTGGATAGTGATAATTTATCCAGTGGATAGCAGCATCCAAATGAAATAAGTGATTGATTGTGATTATTTAGCATGTGTAGCTGAATTTTTTTGGTGTGTTTTTTCTTTTCTGGTCTGTGGGGTCAGAGATTCAGCCATGCCAAAGCTGAATCAAGGACGAAAAAGATAACAAGGGGAGAAGGCAGTGAAAAAAACCGCCTGCAATCAACCTGCTAAGATTTTTGAAACTGCATCCACTTTTTGGATGTAGCAAACAACATTCCTTACCGGCCAACACAATGTCAACCTGCCAGCGGATGTCAGATTCGCGGCTAGTGGATACAAACTTCAAAGGAGTACCATCAGTTGTAATGTGGCTTGCTGCATCTGCCTGATTTGTGTTCACTCAAAATCTAGAAGTTCTGCAACTCTAAAACTCCTGAGAGAATAATGTTCTTAAAAGTCACTGGTCAACAGTCACCTTGCATGAAAGATTTGTGTTTGCTCAATCTGATTCATCACAACAATTTTTAGATGCCAAGAAGCTCTATTATTCTAAAACTAGAAAGATGTTACAAGAATAATTCTTAAAAGCTGTTTCTGATCAAGAAACAGGAAAAGGAGAGAAAAAATACCTTGCACAGTGAAAACTAAACTGAAGCCAGCAGTCCTTCTGTGTGGACTTTTGCTTTTGTCCTGCTATGATGTGTCACTAATCAACATTCATTTATAGTACTTCAAATGAGACTTTCTTTACATGTAACAAAATTCAATATTTTTATCTGATAGTAAAACAATTCGACAATCCAATTCCAATAAACAAAATTATTTCCAAATAGTGAGCGGGAAAGCACTGATGAAAAACATTAAACAGTGAGTCACAAACAACCTTTGGCATGACAATTTGTTGGCTGACATCAGACCTCAAAACACGTCATGTCCCCTTTCATAAGACTGGAAGGGGCGTTTCAAAAATCTCAAGGGGCTGATTGCAAGCGGTTTTCGACCTCAGTTCAGCTTTCGCGTGGCTGAAGGTCTTACTTTGTGAACCACAAAAGAAAGAACCGTCAGCTACACAGGCTAGTGATTGTTCAACATAATATTCATTATCTTTATTTTCCCATTCCATATTCAGGCATGCCAACTTGATTTTGAACCTGTTTTCTCTAATGGTGGATGCAAATGTACCAGACATTGCTTTGGAGCCAGATAAAACAGTTAAAAAAGTATGTCTTTGGTCAGGAAATTAAACACAATCTTTTTACAACGACTGACTTTATTACCTTTCAGCTTGACTGAATCAAGACCTGCCCAATGAGGGAATGACCAGACCAAGACCCATTGGTTGCATTGTGAAGTACCATTCCTGCTCATTTCCCCCATTCCCCACCTCCCCCCCCCTCCTCCACTGTGACACACAGAGGCTTTGAGGGAGGGATGACTGACAAAGATTGTTGTCCCTAGTGGTTCTTTCATGTCCCACATGAGATGTCAGAGTGACTGGGCCTACAATGTTTTTAATCCTTTTGCCTAGGCTTATCAGGATGCAAAGTTTTAACGTTAGATAATTTTGTTTCTTCAGGTTCAAGATAAATTTCGTTTGGACTTAAATGATGAAGAAGCGGTTCAGTTCCTGCAGTCACTTATTGATGAAAGTGTCAGTGCTATGTTTCCTGTTGTGGTAGAACAAATTCATAAGTTTGCCCAGGTAAATCAATCTTACATCAACATCTATATGATTGTTTTAGTGATGTTCACATTGATTTAATGTTCAGTGGAAAATATTACGAGGTCAGTACTCTGTGCTATTAAATTGGGTTTATAAACCTTGTACACAAAAAAGTATGGTTGTCGACATCAGTCACTCATGTTGGAAAGTTGTTTTTCATAGAGGGGACTCTTATAATATTAGTGAGCTTACGTAAAAGGACGACAGAAAAAAGAGGAAGGCAAAATGCTGGTGTGTGACAAACATGACAGGCCTATTACTTATGCATTTTGCAGTGATCTTCACTTGAGTCAATGTTTTCTGGTCTTTTACAAAAAGACCTGTTTAAAGGAGGGTGAAGTTTGCCAGAAAAGTTTTTCAAACAAAATTATTGTCAGGCTTGTCACACAAGGTTTGCCGTCTTCTTTCCTCTTCTGTCCTGTGGCATAAGCTCACTATTAGCAGAATGTGGTTGTATTTCATCCACTATCATTCCCCTCTGTACCCTGCCAGTAGAGCCTTTCTTTCACTTGCTTGATTTTGGTGAACTCACAAAAGACTCTACATTAGTTGAGTAAGATCTTTGTTGGGCATGCAGTGCGTGTTGCTAGGATACAGTTTCAAACCCAGGCCTAATAGCCGTGTGCTTGGTACAGCAGGCTCAGTTATGCCCATCAGTTTAACAATAAATGGATGCTTACATTTGAAAAAAAACCATTTGGCGAGAGAGAACAAGATTGACTTAAGTCCAGAAGTTTGGGCTGCAGTGACTTCAACGGGTTGACACTATTCAGGCAGAGCGTCCTTATCTCCTCACTCAAGAAGATAGAAGGAGGCTCGGCTCGCAGGGTGCCTCCTCTGGTATCCTACTATAATGAGGAACTACAAGCCTGGACATGACAATGTTTTCGTTTCCCCTGAATTTTTGTTGTGGTTATTGTTGTTCTGGGCTTTGCACTGCAACAACTTTTCATTTCACTTTCTTATTTACTTTTGTTAATTTATTTATTTCAGTATTGGAGAAGATAACAAAGAGGAGACCAGAGCTATTAAAGGGACAGGTTCATGGTTAAGCACATGCTCATTAATTAAATTACTTTTTTCCAATGTATTATTAATTCTATCGCTTAATAATCCCACTCACATGTATCTCAGCAATCTTAGAGTATATTTCAAAGTAGAATTGTATTCAGAGTAACCTGAAGTAAGATGGAGGGGTACTAAAATTGCAGAAATAATTAGCTGATAAATGCCAACACTACCAATGTTGAATTTATTGTTGACCTGAAGGTTTTATTCCATGGTTGATTGATTTACAGCTATTTCCAAATATTTAAGTTGATTAATTGCAAGTGACTACCAGGGGAGTTTGCAGATTGGTTCTTTGACAACATTATGACATGATCGTATTGCTTGCATAGACGATACAGAATGTCCCGGCAGAGAAACAGCATTTTGATAAATGAGCATGCACTGAACCGTGAACCTGTCCCTTTAAACATGTAACCACCTATTCACAAGACTTTGTTCATGCAACATTCCAGAAGTGATGTTTAGTAAAAACAAAACGTAAATTTTATACTGACAGTGTATTACTAAATACAGGTGTAGGCAATTCCTATTGTGAAACTTAATTCATCTTACAGTGTAAGCACCTACACCAAGTAAGCAGAGAATCAAAGAGCTACGATTTTCTTTCAGTAAGAAAGCAGTAAATTCCCAGCCCCCAGCCCTCAATGAAGGCTCTGCTTCTAAAACTGAGAATTTATTAAGTGTTGTAAGCTACGTTGTAAAAATACTCTCTTTCTTGTTTCATATTTAATAGTGTACTACAAATTAAATGTAATTATTATCACAAAATAATATGTACAGAGTATTTTGTATGTAGAAAATAAATAATTAAAAGTTTAATATCATCAAATGTCTTCATTTCTGTGAGAGCATCACACATTGATCATGTAGTTCCTGTACGCTGTTTTCTTTGCAGTATTTGGCTGCCTGTGGATGCAATCCCAAACAAATCAGTTATTGGTATTTCACAACTTCTGTCAATTCCAAGCTTGCATTACTGTGGGTGCCAGCAAACAACGGGAAAAAAACCCTCTGGCACCCAGGGTAAGCTTGCATATCCTGACAGCAGTTTCCACAAATTAAAGAACAGGATCCTCCTCAAGTTTTAAAGTAGACAGCTAGGATGTAAAAGTAGGCGGCTTGGTAACTGAGTGCTGTAGGCAATTCCAGGCTTTCACTCTCTCACTCTACCTTATTTCCCCAAAAAGTTGACCGCTTAATGATGGCACTTACCAAGAACCCTGAAAGAGCCTCACTTTTTTAGATTGAGCTTGCTTTCTTGTCATGGTGTGACAGGGTGGAGTAATAGTCATTATTTTAACATTTGCTGCTTCTGAGATTTCAAAGATTTTTTCCTTAATAGAATTACATTTGAAATATTGACACTGTCTTAATCTCTAGTTCAGACAGTTTGCCCTGGTTTCTGAAATATGGAGGATTTAATAGACTGTCCCCACCCCACTGCAATAATATTATTATTGTCCAAAGAGAGAATCTGTTACAGAAAATTAAGGAAGGTTACAACAGTGTTCTGACTCCATCTTGTTCATGATAAAAATTAAAGTTGTTACCTCTCTTAAATCTTTTGTCTTTTCATTCAATTGTTTTTCAGTTTCGATCAACTTCTCTCTTTTGGGTAGAACTTCACCGTTCAGCTTCTCATTATTACTTTCAAGCTAAAAGAAAAAGAAAAAAGGGTAATAAATCAGTTTGAATGGGTCTTGCCGGTACTTGACATTCAAGATATTATAATTCGTCAACCTGTCAATTCCATTAACTTGAGAGAGGCTTCAACTACCAAATAATAAATGATTGTATGGCAGCAGGACAGAGCCATTAAGCCCAGTGCAAATGGAAACAACATTTATTTCAAATTCATCTATCATGGACACAATATTGTTGGCCAACAACTAACTCCCAACATTGTTGGATGTCACATGTTACATCCATTTGCACTCCCTGTCGCATGTTGTTGGGAGTTGTTGTGCAAAGTTTGAAACTGGTCCAACTTTTGGGTCAACAACTCCTGGGCAACATTTCTTTCGTTCCATGATTGCTGAAGGGGAGTGCAACAAAGTTGGATACCTTTGCACAGCTCTTCCAACATTGTTGGGGCCACGCACATGCCAAGATGGTTGTGACAATCCTACGGCTGCTAGCTGAATTTGCTCTGACTCAGTAGTCCCAAGTTCCACTCCTCGTTCACGTGTGTAAATAGCTGACAAATTCAATTTGACTGTTACCAAAAGCGTAATGGTCAGACGTGTTCTTGATTTTTAAACTATTTTTTAACTATGATTATGACTGGAACTGAGAAACTAAGGAAAGAAAACCAAGTGTAAATTGTAAACTTTCCTTAGTCAGCCATGGTTGTAATTTAATATTTTGCACTCATTGTCCCCCTCGAATAGCCTTGCTAGCTGCCGGCGATGCCTCTGCAGTATTATCTGTTTATTAAAAAAAATTGTTGTTGTTGTTGTTGACAGCTTTGTCTCTGGCCAGTTGTTGTTAATTTCTAAATGTTTGTTTTTTTCCTTATTATTTTGTGGGCCACAACAAACATCACTGGGTTACCACTAACTTTTAATACCCCTATGAAGGCTATTTTTTAATACCCTGAGATCAGGCCCAATGTTAGCAGTTCTCATACATTCTCTCTAACGGCTACCAATCTCTTTTCATTTCGCCTCGCCCGCCGGAATGTAATTTTCAAAGCGAAACGAAAATAGAGCCTGATCTCAGGTTAATTTTTTAACTTCTTTTTTTAATAACCCCTCATATTCAATGTAATTTTACCTCATGAAGGATGTGTGTAAGCTGTTCTTTGTAAGCTAACTTAACTTGCATGATATGGTCACAGATATCTTTGTCTGGATTTCCTGAAGGCCTCCTGTGAATTAAACACAAAAATCTGGTGAAAGTCTCAAAAAGACAACCCAAAGAGAACAAGGGGTCTCTATCAGGAGAAGGAGATACAACCTCTTTACAAGAATGAGGAGAATTTATTGCATTAATTACAATAATGCAGAGTTACAATAGGAGCAGTGCTTTTGGACAGCAAACTTATCTTTTGTATGCCCTAACTTGTCAGTGGATTTGGTGGGGGGGGGGGGGGGGGGGGGTGGTAGCTTCAATGATGCGGTCAAGTTCATTGAAGAAATACACAAGATCTTCTTGCTTAATCATCAACTCAATTTCTTTCTATAATCAAATGGAAGGATCATATTAAAAACCCAGTAATCAGCTTGGCTAACATTGTAAAATAATGTTACATAATTTTTTTTGCGCTCTTCTTTGAGTAAGACTTTTGGGATTGACAGACAAAGCATCCATCACACCTGTGATGATTTTGGACACTGACATGTCAAAGACCTAGCTAAGCTGGCTCTGGGGTGCACATAGTAAGAAGAATAAGTCCTCTGTGGACTCATACACTAGTATTAACTGTCAATTCAGACAGTCCTTCAGAGAAAGTGAAATTAGATGGTTCAACTCCAAGAAAAACTCCACCTTACTCCCTTCATTGAAAGAATCTTTATTTGGACTTTCCGAAAATTCACCCAACGATGGCTGCCTTACAGCAAAATTAAATTACACTCTTTTATTTATGAGATTTTACATTTATTCTTATAAAATTCATAACAAAGCACTTAATCTCAGACTTTGCCAACCAAATAGAATTCAATACCAGCTAGAAAAAAACTCTATGTAAAATATATTATAAAGCTGATATGCTTTAAGATGCTAGGGAAGAAGTTTAGTTTGTTATACAGCCAGGCCATTAAACGAAATTGTAAAAAGTGTTATATGAGATGTAAGATGCACTTCATCTAGACTTCCCCAGGGTACAAAGAAAATCATTTTTTACAGCTTGCCATTCGGGCAAGCTGAAGCTAGCACTTACTAGCCCAGACATCATTTCAACTAGCCCTAGACGCTTTTTGACGAGCAGAATTGATTTCGTAGTTCTTCTGTTATTCGAATGGGCCGTTTGCACGATGACGTCTTTTTACTACTAAGACCAGAATTCATTTCGTTTTTCCTTTTATATTTAAATTTGGTAGTCCCAGTGAGGTTTAATTAACAAAAGCCTTAATTTGCACAAGATAGCAATACCCTGAAGGATTCTGGTCGTAGTAGTAAAATGACGCCATCATGCAAATTTAATGGCCTATTGCTCAAAAAATATCACTTGCCTGTTGAGCAAGTTAACAACAGAGTTCACTAGCTTGATACCAAAATCCACTAGCCACAGGCTATCGAACACTACTTTCTTTGCATGCTGCTTCCCTCTTTATTAATGTTCCTTATTGTAATTATGTACTTTCTGTAACTTATAACAGTGTGATTGAATAAAATAAATGAAATAAAATAAAAACATTAGTAAACTAGTGTCAGGAGCCCACGACCTGGGGTGAGCAACTCTCATACTAGGCCTATGTCATGGTGTTTTCACTGACCATTTTTTTTTAATACACATTGGAGCATCTTTTCCGTGCAAAAATGGAATCACTGCTCCCTCTAGGATTGCATTTGAATTATAAGACATGAAAAAGGAAAACTAAACGTCATTACAAGGTCTAAAATACCATTTTCATTTCTGAGGTATTGCTGACTGGTTTAGATATTCTAATCTCACACCAAAATCATTCTAAAAATAAACTAATCAGTGAAAGTGCCGAGACACAAGTACATGGAAGTTGCTTACTCAATGTTATGGGTTCCTGGATGTGCATGTTCTCTTTGGTTACGCAGAGATGACATGAAATCTATTAATTAAACTATTTCCCATCAAGTCTCTAAGCAGGTAACATGGCAAAATCTAAAATGTCAAATGGTAATAGTGAACTGTCCAAATCAGGGCTTGGAAAGCAATATTACTGACAGAACCACAGATTAAATATCCATACACTACTAAATTCACATGAAACTAGCAACAATGAGGCATGGCCAGGATTTGGAGAACTAAGGCATCATATCCATCACCAAGCAGCTATCTTTGAGAGAGTACTGTAACAGGAAATTAGGTTACCTCTATGTTATTTTGCAGGTGCTGCATCAGTTGTTCAGTTATACTTCTGAATTCCACAGGATTCTTTTCTCTGATACTTGTAAAACAACTGCTAAATTTCTCCTGACTAAAAAAGAAAGGATGTACAAAACCATGACCATTAGAAGGTAACAAGGGGATGTGGGGTTTCATTTTTTGGGGGGATTGGATCAACAAGGATCAGGTGATCGGTGAGTGCCACTGTTCAAGGTTTGATTTCCAAGCAGTTTTAAAACCTAAATGTTTTGGTCTTAGAATAGGGAATAATATGTGAGAAAAATTATTGATCAGTTAATAAAGTATTTGCTCTGTAACTTACAGGCATTGGCATGGTCTTGATAGGGCTGGTCTGGGATAAGGTAGTGATTATTAGTAAAGAATGCAGCTGAACAGGGTCTGGTATACACTAAGGGTTTCTAGGTCTCACCAGCACGCACCCACCCATCCAGGTCTATGGGTAAATCCTCAGAATAGCCCAGAGAAATAACCCAGTGGAGTTACTTAAAGTTCAACCCACCAAGTATGGCATTTATAAATTAAATGTGGCTAAATCAAATTTATGTTAATTTAAACTCAAGACATCACTAGCCACCAGTCTTTTCAACAGAATTAACAGGGACTCTCATAACAGCTTTACATGGGCTGGGTGAGCCAACTTTTCCTACATTTCCTTACAAAATTTGAAAAAACCATTTAGATGAAAAACAAAAAGTTGGCTTTGCTTGAAGGGAGGTCTGCCTAGCAGGGTCACCACTTTTCAGTGGTTAGGTCACCCAACTAGCTGTGCCAACTTTTCTTGAAAAACACATTTCAGGCCATTTTCATTCAACCAAAATTCCGGTTAGAAATTTCTGACTCAACGAGCTCAATGAACTGGTACAGTCTGGTTGAACAAACCCAACCACATTTTTGGTTACTGTACTTGTAGGAAGGATACAAAAGAGGAGTACTGTGCAAAACAATTTTGAAAAATGGAAAGAGATATGAATGGACCAGGTCAAAGTGGACCACCTTCAAAGGTAAGGTAAAGGTGCACACAAGCCAAAGGCCCGAACGGCCAGAGCTTATCCCGGTTTCCCTAACAAGAAGCATGCCCAGGAGTATTGCCTCTCCCCTCTGGACGAGATGCTAGACCATTGGGTTACCCCCTAGCAGTATGTCACTGATACCCATTTATACACCTGGGTGAAGAGAGATAAGGTGGAGTAAAGTTCCTAGTCTAAGGAAACAACATGACAGGTGAGGCTTGCACCCCAGACCTCCTGATCCAGAGTTCAAGGTGTTAATCCCTCAGCCACACACACCTCCACCTTCAAGAGTGGTCCCAAATACTCCCATTGAACCAAACCAAAATGGTCTGTTCCATTTGATTTCTAACCAAAATTTTCCAGAATTTTGGGCTGAATGGAAGGGGCCATTTGACTTGCCCAGATGGATCAACTCGTTCAAAGAGGGACAATATGAAAAACAGTCAGCTCTTGGCTCAGGCAAAGGGGTCAACTTTTTCTCATACAGATGCTCGCTTAAGTTGATTCAGCTGGAAGGGTGACCCTCTTTCCCGGAACAACTTTTCTCCATAAATACAGGGCCTATAGTGAGCCAAAAATTCGTAATTTACATCCCTACGTGAGAAGACGAACATCCCCACCTATTTCAGGTGCAATTCTCCCTTCCCCCCCCCCCCCCCCCCCCCCCCACCACTCCACCCGCNGCGAAGATGACAAAAGGTTTAATACGCTTAAATCCTATATCTAAGTAAAGTTAAGCTTTGGGAATTTAAGTACGGCATTAGAGCAAGTCAGCTCGTCATTTGTAGGGTCACATGCCGATACATACACCCCTTCTATTACCTTCCAGTAGCCATGATTTTGTCCAAACATTTTCTCATTACTTTTCTAAATGATTCCATTCTTCTTCCTTCACTTTCCTCCTGTTTTTCTAAAGAGGAACACTCCTTCAGCGAAGAACTTCCCTCAGCCATTTTGCCTTCCATTTTTGCCGCCACTCGACCCAGGGCAACTCTATAATCAAAGATGTTTGAGGGGAGGGGGTAGGGGGCAAAATAACGGAGCAAAGTAAAAACTCAAACTGTTGAGAGAATTTTCTTTACATATAAAGGGAATAAAATTTAAGCGTCTTTCCATAAACATCAGACTGTCTTCAATCTTGTTTGGAGCAACTAAATGAATTAAATTAAAAATTTAACTTTCACTAAGTAGGGTTGAAAGTAGGGTGGACACCGTCGAGCCCAGCTCCCCGCCGAACTGAGACCACTGAGACCCGACTTCTTTGACTTCTTATAATCCCAGTGACTGTACAGTAGTCGCCGGTCGCCGATTCTGTAATTCACAGTCAAGGTATTTAAGCTAGTCACAAAACGATTTCTAAACCATTAACAGTGCTTATTTGGACCAAAAATATATGTATGAGCGTAGTCAGAGATTGCATACAATGATTGGTTTAACAGTCTGGGCTGAGTTGCTCAGCGTATATGCTCTGACCACAGTATTTAATTAACTTTGAAATGCTTGTAAACGTACGTAGACTTAGAGCTCATTTGTCTCATTAGATACATTGAGTAAATCTCTCTATACATATAGTTTTTGAACCTTTATCGATTGAAAACACCACAGATCCATACAAATGAAGTTACATAATAGCTGATTCTGAGTCAAGCTCTACTTGACGTAAGCTCGTTCATTTAAAACAAATTTTTTTAACGGCGAAAATAAAAGCTTAAGGATGCAATTTACGCAAACTATCTGCTACGAAATTTCTAGTCCAGAAAGGAATTATAGGACATTTCAATAACAAAGAATTTGCATGCCAAAACTATTTCCAACCCCCAACCCCTGACTTTTGTTTCCCACTTCCATGTTAGAATGCTGTTTACAGCAAAGGGAAAACCACCCACTATCTTATTTTCATACAAAACAAAGAGAGAATTTGGGGTTAGGTAGCACTTTCTTCTCAGTTATTTAAAGAGCCTGAGTGTTGGTCCAACCGTGGTTCGAACCCACGACCTCCCACTCAGCCGACTGGTGCTCTCCCAACTGAGCTAACCAGGCTATACAACTTTGGCCTAGCATCGTACGATGAATTAACTAACAAATAAGTAAACGTAAAAGACAAGAAACTAACATCATTGGATCTTACAATGAAGGTACATAAGAAGACATTGACTATGATCAGACAAGCTGATGTAGGGGGAATGTTAAAAAAACAAGACTAATATCTTAACGGTGGCACTAGCCAGCTACGGAGATGTGTAAGAAGAACGTAAGAAGACGTTTTAAAGTCTAACATCTTAAAAGGAGCAAACTGACATACGGCAAAACATGTACGTTGTAAGTCTTGCCTTATCTACGCTTCCCTCTAACAAAATGTAATTTGTTCATGCTGGGTTTGAGTTGCTGGACAATGCAGAGCACTAGTTCATTTTACCCAGGCGAGATGCATTGTCCGGGATCCCTAATTATTAGAGATCCCAGACAAGGGGTTATCTTCTTGAAACAGAAGATGACTCACCAACTGACGACCAGCTCTTAAAATGTATTTACCAGCAGCCAAATTTTAGTCACATTGATGACTATTAAGTTGCAATCTTGAGCCCTGAATATCTTATGAACTCTGTAAGCACTTGTGTGTATTATCTTCCAAGAATAAGAATTAACCCCTATGGTTATGGCTGTGTACTTTTGAGGTGCTTGAGTGTGCTCATTTGCTAAGCATATTTGTTTGACTTATCCTAAAACCTGTATTACTTTTGACAGAAAGTTTGATGTCCTTAGTGTTAGAGTGGAAAACATAAATGCTTCATTATATCCTGGATGAACTTCAGAATTGTTGTAAGGTGTCTGGAAAAGGCGAACACCATGTTGAGACATCAAAACCCAAGTGGAATTTCATACTCCGTCAGAAGGACCATTAAAACTGGAACAAAGAACCAGCCTACTCTTATGCCAGTTCATGGATTTGTCTTTGATTTGGACGGAACACTTACTCTACCAGTCTTGGATTTTACTTTGCTTCGAAGTAACCTTCAGTGTCCTAAAGGAACAGACATTTTGGAATTCTGCAATTCAAAATCTGGGAAGGATAAAGAAATAGCCTTCAAGTTGGTTGAGGAGTTTGAAGAAGAAGGACGACAAAAGACAAAACTTCAACCTGGTGTCTTTGAACTTCTCAAATTTTTGTCACAGCATGGATTGAAAAGAGCTCTTATCACAAGAAATCTGCAGCCCTCTGTAGATCAGTTCCTAGACTTGTTGGGTGATCCAGCTAATTATGGTGGACCATTTACTCATGTAAGCACCATTCTTAGCCTGCAAAACCAGCCGTCTCTCCCTGCTCCTTGCTGAAAGAGAGATTTTACATCATCAGTATTTAATTTCTGTTGCTGAGGTGCAGACCTCTCCTGTGAAACGTCCCTACCAGCAAAGATCAAGGAGAGGCTGTTTTTGCAGGCTACACCATTCTACCAAATACATAATGATCCAACATGTGAGCAGAGCCTTTTTTACCTCTTACAATTCTTGAGTAAGGAAGAATCTTTTTTTCATAAAGTATCAGTGAACAAAGGCTCTGCTCGTACAGTGGTAATATTACTAGCTAATCTTTCTCACAAATGAACATGACCTCTTTGTTTAGAACACAACAGTATACACTTTATATAAGTAAGTTATGAACTAAAGCTAGTAAAGTACAGTGAGTATGTCAGTTTTTTTATCATTCACTTCTGAATGACTATTTTGGAGAGACTATTTTTGCAGTTGGGATGATGGTGGCCATTTCATTTATGGAGAGGTGACCACTCCCAGGTTTCAACATCTACCGGTATATCAAAGCTCTTCACTGTACAGAGGTCACTGGGATGTTGTGGAGATCAATGTAGCAAGCATGCATGCTATAAGGTTTGGCAGGAGTAGAAAGTGAGGGTAGAAGTTATGTTATGTAGGAAACCAGAAGATAAAAGGTGTCATTATTATCTCCTAGCCTAATGTCATCTTTATGAGTTGTTGACTGTCCCCTAGACTAAAACATTTGCCTTAGTCAGTGCAGTCAATACATGGACAGTCCCAGTCTGTATTACTTCAGAAGATGACCAGCCTCCCAGCTTGACAGATGAACAGTATTGGCCATTCTTTTTAAACTACCGCAACAGTAGTTGTGGGACATCATGGTAGTGCTTTTTAATTTCTGTTTGTATTTATGTCTTTTTAATATAATTTTTTTAGTGTAACTTGTTGGGCAATTGACATAAATGGTGTAATGGTTCAATATTAGACCATATTAGTGTAATAAAAAGAACTGCTTTGAAATAATAATATTATTATCATTTCATTGCTGTTCTGTAGCTGTAATATTTTTAATCAACTCTGCCATTGGTTTTTAAGGTTTGTCCTTATAGTCCAGTAAAATATGCAAACCCCACATTACCACCTTACAAATGTTTTTAAAATTTGTTTTCTTTTTCCTATTTAGTCTCTTACGCGAGATTTTACTCCACCCAAACCTGACCCCGCCCCTCTTTTGCACATTTGTGGGCAGTGGGGAGTGCACCCAAGAAGTGTAGTGATGGTTGGTGATCATCTTCATGATATACAATGTGGAAAGGATGCAGGTTCAGGTACACATTCTTACAGTAATACAGTGGAACCTTGTTATACAGACATCAAGGGGCATGCCATTGTGTCTGTATTAAGCGGGCTGTCAGAAAAACACGTCCTGGCACAGACACATTTTTTATTGATATTGAGATACAATGGAGCATTCACTGTAGCAGAAAGCCAAGGAAGTGAAGCTTGTGTATTTAAATAGGAGGCAGAAAACTTAAATAAAGGACCACAGCACAATGGTCAAACACCTGAGGAAAGACAGAGTGAACAAAATGAAACATGTTACCCTATCTCACTACTGTATTTTTGGCAATGAAATTGTATCAGTCTTTAGAAATCTTTCATTATTTGAGTAGTTTATAATGTTTGCAATTGGCACACATTAAAAATAGACAGTGCAGAGATGCTCACACAGAAAAGTATCCATTGTCTGTATTAGAAGGGTTTCTGCATATTAGGCAGGATGCTAATTTGGGGGGAAAGATTTTTTTCTGGAAAAACTGTCCATTATAATTATACAAGTGTCTGTAGAGCATGGTTCCACTGCAATAACTTTATTAGAGTCTGAGAAAACTCCTAGCTTGGCACAAGAGCTTCAGGAAGACTGGAAAATCAAGATTCCAAATTTTTATCAAAAGTTTAGCCGTGAAAAGAATGTTTAAGTGAAGCTCCAATCCCCTCAAACCCAGACTCGGCAACGTCTTGGGGTCTCATGTCCTGGAGCAGACTGGTAAAAGATACCCTGGTATCAATGTTGCCCAAGACCTACTCAGTTATTGCAAATTAAGTGATTTGTCAGTGTCTCACAGATCAATAACTATTTGCCTCGACCTTCTGCTTTGGCAAATAAGTGATTTGCTCCCCACTGAAAAATCATGATATTTTGCTCAACCTAGTCCGATAATAGTAATTGATTCAGATGATTTGCCTTTAAAATAATCATTCATTTGATAATGCTTCTTATTTTAGTAACAGTGCTGCTAAATGATTCTAAGAATGCTGATTTCAAGAAATATGCAGACTTCAATGTCGACTCATTGCAGGGGATTATCACATTAATTACCTCACAAGAGATGTTTACCGTGGACAGGGAAGATTCTAGTTTTCAGACATGACAAAGTCTCATGTTTAGAGACTGAAAACCATTCCATTTTACACTGTATTATTGTACGATCATAGTGTAAAATAATATATGAGAGGTTGAAATTGTTAATAAAAAGTTCACTAAATCAAGGAAAAAAGAAATTTGATTTTGTACTTAAAAAAGGAATCCCAATTTTAATTCATTTCCATCCTCTTTGACAATTAGGAAATAACAAACCAAGTATTTCAATTTATTGGGTGAAGCCTTAAACTGCTAGAGGAAAAAAAAAGAGAGTTTTATCTCAGCAGGGGAAAGGGCACTTCCTCTCATGGCAGATTCATGGTTGTGCTTCTACCTAGGTATGGTTTTCATTCTATGCCATTTAGTCCTGAAAAGGCAGGGGATGGGGTAGTTGGGATGGATCGAGAGAGGGGTGGAAATCGAGCCTAAGGAGGAGGAGGAGTAAAGACCTTGAGCTAGTGATGTGACTTTGTGCATTTAATATTTATACCGTATTTATTCGATTAACCGCCCTGGGCACTTATTAAATTTTTGGACCTTGAGAGTGGGCGCTTATTAAATTTTCACCATTTTCAGAAAGTGAAGTATGTTTATTTGCAACAAAACAATAAATGCTAATAACAAAACACGAAGAAGTAACAAAGCAAGGTTTCTGTGAAATACTCTGAAGACAACTCCGTCCTCGGGGAAGTCTCCTATTAGAGTTTATTCACTCAAGTGGGTGGGGTGGGGGTGAGCGCTTATTTGAGTTTGATTGGGAGGAGGAGGGGGTGGGCACTTATTCGAGGCTGGGCGCTTATTAACTTTTTCTGTCTTTAGAATGGGCGTTTATTCGAGGTGGGCGCTAATTCGAGGTTGGGCACTTATTCGCGCCCCATCCAGACCCTCATCAAAGCGCCGTGTATCGGAATCTATTTATGTGCACGACTCGCGCATCTCTCCCCCCCTCCCCCTCACTCCCCGCCGCGCGTGGTAACGACAGAGCGGTGACGAAATCAAAACATTAGAGTGAATAAACAGGAAAAAAATTATGAATTCCTTCAAGACAGTAGCAAGTGCCGGTACTTACTGTAATGATTACACATCACGACAACATGAACGCTTCGCATTAAAATTTTGAGCGAGTCACGTGTACAAGAGAAACCTGTCTAAGGGGCAATCGGACAGCAGAACGGTAAGGTTTTAAAATGCTTTTACGTTCCCTTGCGTAACATGAACTTTGAATCTGGTGGAGTATACGGGCCGGATTTGTAGTTATCAACGAAACTGAGCCTGGAAGTGCCGGCAGAACCCTTCCACAGGGACTCTTTCAGCGACAAATATTTACATCGTAATTTGGAAAGGAAAGCGGCTTTCGTCGAACGTACACCTGGCGTTCGGATTGACCACAGTCACCCTGCTGATTTGGTTTCTCTAAGAAAATATCCGCTTACTCCATCTCGGATTAGCCGATCCGTAAAATTCTAACGAAATACCATTAAAAAATATCGGATCTATATTTCCTTGTCTTAACACTTTGAGGCAGTTGAACCATTCATCCTACACAATGCTTTAGAAGACGAGAAAGCCGGGCTGAGAGAAATTTCACGCACTTTTTACGTGAGACAACAAATCAGTATGAAATATATTACACGTCTTCATTTTCTTTGAAATCAACCCTTCCAGAAGAAGTAATTGTTTCTTATTTGCGTTACAGTGAGGTGCTACTTGTTCATAGGCCGGGGGTCTATCAATGGACGAAGATTCCCTTTATTTGGACGAAGAAGGCGGATGTTCACTCGGAAGTCGAGGAGCCCTGCACACAGCTGACTCACATTCTCATGTGCACGATCAGCGTAAGGTAAATAAAACGAGATGTGGTCTACAGACAGTCAGCGAGTTCTAGCATCGTATAACAAAGGCGGGGAGAAAAGTCAGGGAAAAATCTTTACGAAATGACAGAAAAACTGGGTTTTTATGGGTTTTTATGCAAATTAGAATTCACGTGCGTCTCGTGCCCGTGACCCTTATTTGGAATGTGGTCCCGTATTTGGAGATAGCGTGACCCATATTTGGAACATGTGCGTCCCATATTTGGGAGAATCGAATTGCGCGCCATTCTGTATGCCTTTTACTGACCAATTAGAACATCGAAATTTCCGAGACGTCATCGAAAACTCGTGACTAAACAGGTTTATCGGGAGAGGAAAGGTCGGAATCGGAGGAAACTTGAGAAAGACCGAGAAAGAAAACAGTTATTATTGAACTGGAAAAATTTAGGAACAACGTCATAAAGATTTTTTGCTGTGTTTTTGCCCTTGAACTGTCAGTTTCTTGAGCTTTTACAGTTTATTGCGTGAAGAAACGTCTCGGAATCGAGCTTCAATTATCGGGTTTGTTGGCGGACTTTGGTAACGATAGGCGCAGTGTGGTCGTTGAATCCTTTACCCGAGACAAACACAACAGGAGAGGAACACGTTGATGGTTAAAATCGTAGAGAGTTGAATGGGTCGAAACTATCGTAAAAATGATGTAAGTTTGACATTTGAGCGTCGGAAGATTTGCTTCGACTGTGAACTTGGCGTCGATAACTTACCGACCGACAATTGGAGTCTTGATCACATTTCCAATTTCCTCATTTCTTTGCAGCCATCATCTTTGGGAAAAGCGTTCATTGCTGGTGCTTTGAGTGGGACATGTTCTACGTTATTATTTCAACCATTTGATCTGGTTAAAACTCGCTTGCAAGTGGACAAGACAGCTCTGTCACCTGCTGGGAGGCTGAAAATAGGGTAAGAGTTTACAGATCTGTGCACGAAATTTACATGTACATCAGTGTTATTNCTTGATCACATTTCCAATTTCCTCATTTCTTTGCAGCCATCATCTTTGGGAAAAGCGTTCATTGCTGGTGCTTTGAGTGGGACATGTTCTACGTTATTATTTCAACCATTTGATCTGGTTAAAACTCGCTTGCAAGTGGACAAGACAGCTCTGTCACCTGCTGGGAGGCTGAAAATAGGGTAAGAGTTTACAGATCTGTGCACGAAATTTACATGTACATCAGTGTTATTATTTAGTACTTCGCAGGAAAGCAAACAACAAATGATTTAAGTGTTTAAATGACCCCATCTTTATCTTTTGCAGAAGTAGTAATGGCATGCTTTACACTTTTTACTCTGTGGCCCGTAGAGAGCATGTTGTCGGGCTTTGGAGAGGCCTCGTACCGGTAAGCTGTATTTTAGTTCGAACCTTTTTTAATGTATAAGTTGTATGACAGTTGAGTTGGGTTTATCAGTTGAGTTAATAAAGTCAAGTTGCCCCTGTAAAAAGATTCAAAAGTTTACATACTTTTCAAGTGCTAGCCTTTTTTAGAGCGAATCAAAGGATAAAATGCCAACCTTCAGGGCCGGGTTGTTCAAAGGGTAAGATAACCCAGTGTTAGTCCGAAATTTGAGTTCATATTTGAACGCTTAAAAAGTAAATTCAGTTTAATTCTTTCAGTCAACAAGTTGATGATTGGATGCTCTTAGAAATAACGAGGAAATTATCCGAGAAAATACTTTTGAACAAAAGAAAAGAAACCCAGGGTTAATTTAACCCTGGATTAAGCACTAATCGGCCTTCGGACAACTGGGCCCTGCAGGGTTACTCGTAGAGATACCAGGAGATTCACCCTCCTTCCATGAGACTCTCAGTTAATCAGGGAGATGCCTTTCTTAGTCCTGGGGAAAGCAAATTCCTTCTTTTTTTCAAATAAGCTTCCTTCTGCAGGAGTTGTGACTTCTGTGGGTTTTAACAGCACATGGTAATTCAGGTTTTCCTAGTGTGCCAGTTAATGAAAATCAGTTCTTTCAGTTGCAAACTACTGAAGATTTTGTTTCAATTTAAGAACATTTCCCTACTGCTGCTTATTGGAAAGAAGGAACGTAATCGAGGGGGTGTTTGTTAGAGGAAGTACGGTATATTGGATAGCTTTCATACTACTATTAAAACCTGATTGGTAATTCATTGAAACGTGAAACACCAATTTCAGCATGACTTTTATGCTCTAGCATCACTATGACCAGTGATTTTGTTACAATTAGTTATGATGAGTCCTGGTACTCATCTTGCAAAAATCATGAGTCCTGGTCCAGAACCAGTGAGTCCCAGGTCAAAAAGCGATGAGTCATAAACTGAATTTTTTGGGGCCTTCATGTAACCATGCAGACAATTAATCAGAAGACAGACTCTAAAACTCTGTATTGCAGTTTACTGAAATAAAAAACTCCTTCTATCGTCAATCACAACAAAGACTAAAAGAAATATACCTCATTAAACAACGGCCGCAAGAACAGCCACAGAAATCACACGAACAGGATGTTCTACAATTAAAACATTTTCAGATCGATCCATCGGTCGATTTTTGCGTCCCACATGCATGCCATGAATTATTTTGGGTCTTTGGCACTTTTTATGCATCAGGAACACATGACGTAGAGGTAACAAAATCACTGTGACACTCTGCTTATGAAAGGTATATCCTTTGTACAGGATTAGCTTTGAGCCATGTTCGGTCATGGCTGTTTATATATTATTGTTTTTAGTTCTGAGTCACCACCATAAGATTCAATTCAATAAAAAATGTAAACATAGCCTAAGACCTGCGAGTAAGTCATTGATTATCTCCTTACTGGCACTGAAATATATTCAAATGTTTTGTTTACTGTTGGTTTTGCTTCAGTCACTGTCCAGGTGTGTTCCTGGGATAGGAATGTACTTCTGTACACTTCACGGCTTGACACAAAGTTTTGGAAGGTAATAACAAATATTGTTTTCCCATAACTTTACCCTTCAAACCCCATGGCCAATATGAAAATTTAAATTACTCTTTGTTGTCATTCTTTAGGCATTTCATAGAGAAGTAGTAAGAAGTTGTTAAAGCATCAATATAATATTCATCACAGCATGATTGATTTAGGGTGGATATTAATTCCCACGAGTCATCACAGGTTATGATAGTTTTAATATTAAGGCTTGTGGGGCCGGGAAAATGACTGAAACAAATGAACCAGTTAAATATGACAAGGTTACTAAGGAATGCCATCTTATAGGAGACAAACAAGTTGGCTATTTTACAAGCCGCTTAGGGTTTGAACTTGGGACTACAGGCAACAAATCCAGCCAGTGGTCAGGGAAAGATTTGAACTCATGGCCTCCAGATTGCAAAACTAGTGCTCTGATCATTCAGCCATGCTGCCTCCTAAAAAGGTTCATGCAGTTCCGTAAACTACATACACTCTGCCTAAACTTAGTTTAGTACTGTTGTACTATGTGCATACATAAGAGGCTTGATAATAATTGACATTGTTTTTGTTGATTTCAGTGAGGAACCATCCATGGGTGAATCAGTATTGGTGGGTGCATGTGCAAGAACTATAGTGGGAATAACACTGTTACCATTTACAGTGTTGAAAGCTAGATTTGAGGTAATTTTTTTACTTGTTTTACAAATACCCCCTGATAGACTATCCTGGACTACATGTATCGTGATAAATTGCAACTGAAAAATATTCATCACAAACTTTTGCCATTTTAGAAATGTTATTGAAATTTTTATGTGTTGTTTTTGTCCTATGTAGAGTGGTTTTTTCAAGTATAACAGCATGCTTCATGCATTCAAGTCGATCTTGAAGAGTGAAGGAGGCAAAGGTTTGTTTGCATTCAAATAGTGGGTCGGGATAATTTATTTCCTTTTTTCTAAACAAGATAAACAATTAGTTTGTTTCACTCAAACAACAAAGTTATCTTAAAACAATAATAATTTTTATTATTACTAGTTGTTTTTATTTTGATAGATGATTAAGGAATAAGAATTTTCAAATGCTATTTTTTTGCACGTGTTTTAACTTTTTATCATTTCTAGTTGTAGCATGGGTAAATAAAGAATTGTACTGTATTGTATTGTATTGTATGATTATTATTGTTCTGCTGTAGCTGGAAGGTGAGAAGTTGTATTTGTATTTTTATTTGCCACACAGATAAATGATTGCAATTGAAAAACAGACAAGATACAAAAATGTCGAAAGTAATGGCAAGGAGGCCTAAAGGAAACCATAAAGCTTACACTGTATATAAAATTGTTCTAGTGAGGCTTACATTGTATGTTAGTTGGGTCTCCTCAATAACAATTTTCCGTAGATGACATTTAAATCAGACTCACGATGGATACAATTTTTTATAATAGAGATAAGCCATCCCAGTTTAATTTAAAGCTGTACATTTACTGCCATGTACATGTACCTCTGCCTCTTTTATTGTAACTGAGGTAATTTTTTAGAATTGTCTTTTTGATGAAAACTTGGCTCTTTACTTGTAGGCCTGTACAGTGGTTTGTTAGCAACAGTCGCAAGAGATGCACCATTTTCAGGGCTGTATTTAATGTTTTACTCCAAGATGAAAGGGCTGGCAAAACATGGTAAAATTTAATTAAAATCTTGTCAGTCATCACTTATTACGGCATTCTACAGGGCTTCTGATATTTCGCGGAAAAAAACGCAAAATTTCGCGGGATTTTCAGGGGTAAATTCGCGGAAAAATCGGCCGATTTCGCGGGATTTTCGCGGAAGAAAAGTCAAAATTCGCAAAAACATCGGCCGATTTCGCGGGATTTTAGCGGAAAAAAGTCAAATTTCGAAGGATTTTCGGGGCAAATTCTTAGAAAAATCGGCCGATTTCACGGGAAATTTGGGGGGAAACTTCGCCAAGCAACAATCAGTAAAAAACAGCCGATTTCGCTGGATTTGTTTTGGCAAATTTCGCTAAAATCGATCAATTTTGCGTCGATATGACCAGCATTGTTTAACTTTTTTTAACAGGGATAATCATTTGCTCTTTCAACAACAGTTCGCTCGAGAAATGAGCGAATCCTAAAGCTGTTAACATAATGGTTAGTGCCCAGTTTTTCGCAACGTTCATCTAAGAACGCCTGGTAGTTTTGAGACGTTGTTTACTCGTTAAACTGACGAAGTTTCAAGATAAATTTGGACGTTTGGGGTGAATAGAACAGGTCTCATAGCCAAGATAAGTATTAAATATGTTTTGCCGACATGTATTTGGAAATATTTCTGGCGGATTTCGCGGTATTTCGTGTTTTTTTGGGAATTTCGCGGGATTTCACGGAAATACCTGAATTTCGCGGGTCCGCGACCGCGCGAAATATCAGAAGCCCTGATTCTATGTATCTTTAATAATCTTGTCTTAGTTATTTTGTGATAATTATTCTGCATGAATGTTATAATAGCTTAGTTGCGTTACCTTTTAATGTAAAGAAAGCATGCACAAGATAACAATATTTATTGTTATTGAAGGGGAAGACAGAGCGGAGAAAAGCCAGTTGTTGAAAGTTTAACATGTGATTATTATTTTACAATGGTCCAAGGGGTTGCTTCATGACCTCTGTGCTACTGGATAGCACATGTTCTGATGTAATAAGAAAATTAACATCATGAAATAGTTTCACTGTACTGCTCTCTGGCTTTGATTAGAATCATCTTGCTTGAAATTGCTTTCTCATCTTTCAAATATTAGAAGCATGCTGCATTTGTTTACTAAAATAATGACTCTAATGCAGTTGTTTTGTTGAGTTATAATTGACATTTCCATTTACCCTTGCCAACAGAACTTGGAACTCCTGAGTTGAAATCATCTGAAACATTTGTGTGTGGTGCATTTGCTGGTGTCTTTGCCTCAGTTCTTACCCAGCCAGCAGATGTGGTGAAGACAAGACTTCAGTTGTATCCACACAAGTATAATGGGAATGGTGATGCTGTCTTATCCATATTGAAGGTATCCTTTGTAGTATACAACACTATTTTTAGGAATATTTAGTGGTTCACTTTTATCCTTGGTTTAAATATTATTTTCTGTTGTTACAAACTTGTCATTATACACTGTATATTACCTTACCCAATGAAAAAAAAAATAAATCTATGATAAAAATAGCTCTCTAGAGATAGTACGCATTTACAGTTATGTCTGTTGTGCACTTGCGATTCTATCAGCTTGCTGTGTCACATAAGCATGAACTGTAACCGATTTTATCAAAGAAAAGAAAGTGTGATTTCTTGCATGGAAGAAAAAAATTTTGATGCAGTTACTCTTCACCTTCATGTCATAGAGCACACCGATGACTAGGGTCAGAGAGAAAATGAAGCGTGACTTCTTGCATCAAGAAAAAATTTTCTCAATGCAACACGTCATGCTTATTTTTCTGACATAACAGTTGACACTTCACATTCATGTTATGTAGCACGCTGATGAACCTTATTATCCCTTTTTTGCAAAATTTCTTTTGATGAGAAAAAAGTAAAATGATAAAATAACAAGCAATGGATAGAGCATTTTAGTAAAATCTAATTAGTGGTCTATTATCAATGCTCAGGAGCCCATCAAATGGAGCCTCCATCTCCCATACAAGCCCTTGGAGTCAACCCTTTCCCGAGTAGATTTATAATTAGAACGGTTCCCAGCGGAGACTACACGCGCCGACAGTGGGAAGGGCCAATCACAACGACAAAATGACAGTGCTATTGTACTTCATCAAACGGCAGGAAGTATGGTGTTGACAAGCAATACACATATCATAAGCTAGTGAAACGTGACTTCAGAGTTTTCATCCCTCAGAGATTTTCGTTCTTTTCTTTCTAGCGGGTAGATTATACTGCGGAGAATTTGAAACTCTGACTACGTTAATCTTTATTTTGGCTGCTTGTTTCACATTAAGTTGCCATGAAGCTGGTCTGTTCCGTGTATAATGATTAACTACTTCCTACAGTCTGTAGTTCTGACAGGATTCGATTCTAGTACCAGTTTTCTTTAGTTAATGTTTTTAAGCGTTAAAGTTCTTATTTCGGCTAAATGACTCAATATTAATCAAATTTCTTGTTTTTAAAGCTTTTTTTTTCGAAATGCGTTTATCTGAACAAATACTTGTAGTCCTTTTTTTTGTCCTGTCAGCTAGTGTGATGATTCCCTGCTATGTTTTGTAACGCCGGGCCCAGATATTTAGCATTGTTTTCTCACGAATGGTGATCTACAGATGCAAAATCGAAGGAATGAATTGACCTTAAACTTCTACATTAACTGCTGAGAATTGTCCTGTTAGTCAGTCATAATTCTTTCGGCGCAGATACAATCCATTTTGTTTTTCTTGAGATAAGTGGGTCTTTGGACTTGAGTGCAATGTCACAAATTCCTCCGTTAGCATATTACTTTTGACTTAGCTTCACAGTCGAGCAACCGTTCTGTTCTGTTCTGTTCTACTTTTTAAGTACCAGTTAAGTTTATCAGGCAACACTCATGGTAATACAAGCCAGTTGTAGAGGAAGACTGCAATTTCTCAAATTTCGGAACTAGAGCATTTCTCGTTAGTTGCTACTTAGGTGATCGCTTTTGCACGCGGTACTTAACTGGCGAAATCCACTCCACGGTGATGACAAAAATCAAATGATCCAAGCACTTTTTCGGTGCTGATCATCGAAATGTTCCAAATCGTTCACAGAACACTTAATCGTCGACTCTTTTCGAAGTGCATGTTTACATGTGGAATGTATAACGACAAAACACTCGCAAAGAAAACCTTTCAGTGATCCTCAGTTCGCTGCCTTTGTCCCATCGCTTCATGCTCAGTCTCAGTCGGGTAATTCATTAACTTTCATTTCATGATACCCAGATCCCAGCGGCTATAAAATGGTAAAAATGGACATATAATGAAAAAGGAAAACGGTGGAAGGACGGGCTTTTGAGTTCGACTTCATCCAACTTTATTTTTTCACGGTGGCATACGAGACTCACGGAAATATGACACTGTTCGCGGCAAAAAAGCCGTTCTATTTATAAATCTACTCGGGAAAGGGTTGACTCAAGACATTAATGGAGATGGAGGCTCCATTTGATGGGCTCCTGCAATGCTACATTCTGATTGGTTGAGCTACTACTAGGCTATATGTTATTGCCCACTAGTAGCGAAAAGCGCCGGCTTTGAAAACCAAAACAATGGCAGCTGAATCGCATTTTGCTAGTTAAAGTTGTTTTGTCTCTATTTTTTTCTACCAACTAGTTGGATATTACAGTGAAACCTCTATTAAGTGGACCCCCAATTAAGCGGACACCCTCTATTAAGTGAACACTAAGCCAGGTCCGGATATGAATGTCTTATATTTCCCTTTATAACGAACCCCTAAGCAGCGGACACCTCTATTAAGCAGACGCGAACACTAAAATAAGTAGTACTTGGCTAATTTTTATTGTTGAAAACCTGCATTAAGCGGACACCATTTTATACTAGTATTGGATTACGTTCTTGAAATACGAACTGTAGTCGATTAATAAGGATAAATCAATAAATTAAGCTGTCAATAAATTGTAGATGAGACTGATATCCGGCCATATGATCGTCATCCGCCATCAAAGTTCACCTAAAAGTTCTTTGGAACTTTATCACAAACATTGCACAATTTTTACCAACTCTATGAAACGGAAACCCTCTCTTAAGCGGACACTTAGGAAGGTCTCGAAGGTGTCCGCTTAATAGAGGTGTGACTGTACTAACACAATATTATTATTCTCACCCTTACAGCCTCTGAGTCAATGGCCCATTCGGCCTTCGGCCTTAATGGCTATTGCCTCAGAGCCCATTCGGGCTCGAGGAATAATTGTTAAATAGACTCTACTTTTTTGCAAACTGAATCATACAGTATTTTGTCTCTGGCCTTCAGAATTACTGCATTTCTTAATAAGAACATAATACAGACATGACATTAGTGTATAGTGTTACAGTTTCTATGGAAACTGTAAGCTCAAAAATGAAGCAAAACAAATACATAGTGTAACTCTTGCCAAGGGGATCAGATCTCTGTTTATATTTTTGTTGTTGGTGATGCTGTTTTTCGTGTCATTTTGTCTTCATATTATCATTTCATTGCAAAGACACCCTCATTAATTTTATTTTTTATTCACGCTGTTCTATAATCCTTCGTGGTCCATTCTGGATCTGAAAAAATTAACATTGTTTGTTGTTGTTTCCAGGCAAATGGAGTAAATGGACTTTTCAAGGGTATTGTTCCTCGTACCCTAAGAAGAACTCTCATGGCGGCTTTGTCTTGGACTGTTTATGAACAGGTATAGCATGCTCTGCTTTAAATTACAAAAAATCAAGGTTNCAGGCAAATGGAGTAAATGGACTTTTCAAGGGTATTGTTCCTCGTACCCTAAGAAGAACTCTCATGGCGGCTTTGTCTTGGACTGTTTATGAACAGGTATAGCATGCTCTGCTTTAAATTACAAAAAATCAAGGTTATGCTCTAAGAAAAATTGAAGGGAGTCCACTGCAATGAAATTGAGAAATCCTGGGTGCCCAGCATTATTCTTTTAGGATACAACTCAGATTTCTTAGTTGCCCTAGAGCGTTAGTAGGGCACAAGGGGCCACCAGCCATTGCTTGAGGACAGCCCTGGAAATGGAGCTATGTGAATATTATTCCAAGTGAACGTGTGATTCCTGAGTATCTGACAGTGTACATGTGTGTTTAACACTGTTATTGTCCATCTTTTCGGCAGCTGTCAAGGGAACTTGGGCTAAAGACTTGAGTTACATCACCAGAGTAGCCAGTAGTGTACTGTGTACAAGAGACTGTCTTCCCCAGGAGCAGGGAAGAGACAAACTTGATGGTCACATCAATGTCATCCATCCTTGACAAATGCAAAGACTTCTGCAGACCACAAATATCTACGGCTGTGCCCAGTAGTGTTCAAAGACACCGAAGGCCACAGCAAACAAGATAATGTTCATAATTTAGTGGGATATGATAGTTTTGTCTCCAACAAATTTCAAGCACCTTGAAATTCGACTAATATACACTGCTCATAAGCAGGCACTGGCTGACTGTTCCCGGTGACGTACAAACGTTGCATTTTAAACCTCCCTTAGGCGGACACCTCTCTTAAGTGGGCACTTTCCCGGTTAAAAGGGTGTCCAGGAATATTTGAATGTGTCAATGCCACTGACACTGTCAAATGGGTAACTATTATTAGTATGTGTAATCAAATGGTGACGAGTGAAATTAGGGAATAATTTCATGCGCGTTTTGTCCAAATCCTAATAATTTCCCAAGCCTTTATGGACAAAATGCAAGTGAAATTATTCCCTAATTTCACGAGTATAAGGTTACCTTTTAATGTCATGGGTGACGAATTACGTTAGCAATCTTGGATCTTTGACATGTTTATCCTGGATCGTATTGATCGAGAACTCCACTCTTTCAAATGTTTAGACCTTAAATTTGGCTTATAAAGTTCAGAATTTTTGAGACTTTTTCGGCAAAATACCTGTTATTATACCACTACATGAGAAATTTCTGCAATTTGATTGGCTTAGGGCAGTGGTATTCCAGCTTAATTTGAAATACCTACATGTGAAAATTTCAAACCTTTTGCAGGTAGTAGTATGACAAATAATAGCATGATTTGTCATGATATTTGGCGTAAATACCACTCGTGATATTTCAAAATTGTCTCAAATTTCACTCGCCTAACGGCTCGTGAAATTACGTCTAACAATTTTGAAATATCACTCGTGGTATTNTGGCTTAGGGCAGTGGTATTCCAGCTTAATTTGAAATACCTACATGTGAAAATTTCAAACCTTTTGCAGGTAGTAGTATGACAAATAATAGCATGATTTGTCATGATATTTGGCGTAAATACCACTCGTGATATTTCAAAATTGTCTCAAATTTCACTCGCCTAACGGCTCGTGAAATTACGTCTAACAATTTTGAAATATCACTCGTGGTATTTATGCCAAATATCACTACAAACCATGCTATTACCTATACGAATCCTTCTTGATGTTCTCTTGTGTGTTCAGGTTTTCTAAAGCGTCTTTATGTGCCCTGACATCTTCATTCATGGCATTTTAAAACTTTGTCGCCATCTTGACACTGAGACGTACGGAAGGGTTGCCATGGCAATTTGGTAATTTCACATGTGAAATACAAATTAACGCAGAAATTTCGCGCCAAAATTAAGGAGTAATTCGTCACCTATGATATTATATGAATTATACATGATACATTATAAGGAAACATTTTTAAAGAAAAACTATTTTTAAAGTGACCACCTCTTTTGGTTAAGTACAGCTTGTTCTTAAGTTTTGTAAAGCTGTTCAGCAAAAGGTCATTGTCTATAGAACTTGTAACTCAAGGTTACAAAATACTGTGGAGTCTTTACTCTTGATACAGTAATGATAACACACGGTGTTACTCTAAGCAATGCATAGGAAGGTAAATACAAAAAGTGACACTAACTTTTAATCCTTGATTAACAACAATCGGCCTTTCAGGAATCAAGCCCTTTTCTTTAAAAAGAGAATTGGCTATTTGACACTTAAAACAGTCAGAGTATTTACCTCTGTGTTGAAAAAGAGTGGTCAAGGAAATATATAAAATAATGTTATTTTAAACACAATGTAAATTAAGCAGAGAATTTAAATATGGACTGCGAGCAGCACGCATGACGCACCCGCGAAATCGTACCCCCGAGGGAGACGAAAAAACCTCGTTTTTGACATGCTTTATTGGGAATATATCCGTCTCTTTTCCCTGCTCACGCGAAACGTTCCAAGCGATGATGAGCGAGGAGAGACGAATGAATTCACAGGATAACGGGAATAAACATAGTACACTCGACGTTTTTTAAGAAAAAGAAGCACTGCAAGTAGTCTTATTCAAATATGGTTTCAATCACTTTTATGAAAATGTAAATAGTAGTAAATGCGGAATTTGTCATGTTAAAGAATTCTTGAAACTTTGGTTTCTCCTTAATAAAAAGATGGTTTTATAATCTAGCTCGATACTCTTACATCTGGTCGCGTTAAATATCTAGTAACACTTTTCCCTCACCTCGCGTTTCATTTTTTGTTTTTTGTTTTTTAATTAGCCTGTCCCAGGCTCCAAAATTGTAATGCGAAGCAACAGGAGTCCCAGACTGGCGGTGACTGTACCCCTCCAAATGTATAACCTTATTTGGCTTTTGTCTCAAAAACCTTTTCTCAAAATATCCTCTGTTCTGTTCCCCACGTTTCTACCTGAATGCTTTCCTTTACAATTAAAGCTGGTTTTCATTTGTTACTGCATTCAGTTTCCAACATAACTGCCACAATAGCTCCAATTTTAAAAATATCCTGCTTAGCAGGCGCCGATATTTTTTTAGGGCAACCGGCGCCTGCTACGCAGGCCAAAAAATATTTCTCGTAGTTATTTAGCTTAAATCATAAAAACACATAAAATCGTTACACATGTTACTTCCTCCGCTTTTGCCTTAAGAGAATGATGTACCTCATTTCTAACTGCCCCGACTCCGCTCTAAACACCACTCCCATCCGTAGCTACAAGAGAACATAAAAGGCTTTTATTTTCTCTATGGTAGCTACAACTAACCACTGACGAACAGTTCATGTGAATAAAAAAACATTCATTCATTTATTTTTGCCATTAACCACAAATGCAACAACAATATACAGAAATGTATAATACATTAAAGAAAATATAGACTATTTTAACTAAATTATTTACAAAATCAAATGTTTAAAGTGGTAATGGCAAGGAAGCCTATATAGAAGCCGGGGGCTCGTAAAAGAAGCTAAACATTTAACAGGGGCACCCAGCGACTGTTTTCTGTAAGATATCTGTTCGAATAAGCACTTTTGCCTAGAATTTTCTTTAGCTTGAGGGCAGCTAAAAACTTCTAGATCACCGTTCCATTTATTTTACGATTTTTCGGGCCTACTATTTTTTCAAGTTCAATTTTTACTATTTCACTCCACGGGTTAAGCTATATTTTGCAGTGAAAGGAATCCTAGAATTTTCGGATTCGAAAATGTGATGGATAGAGGAATCAGAAAAATTCTCAATCGTAAAGCTTTAAAATCTATCATTTTCGGAAAACAATACTGAAGCCCTGGTAGTTTCGGAAAGACCCAAGTTGCCCTAGAATGACTGAACAGATACAAATTTTATAACGGCGCGGCGCTTAGAATTCGTTTCTAAAGATCTATAAATACTGTGGATAGCCTAAAAGTGTTTTGGATGTATTTAGCAGGAAACCGTCATTGGGTGCCCCTGATTTAAAGGAGGAAGTTTGATTGTTTTCGTAGCAATAGGAAGTGAATACTTGAATATTGCTGCAGAATTTTCTTGCGGGCGGTATTGCGGCTATTTTCAACTTACATTTGCAAGGAGCCTTGCTGTTTTAGTATTGTTTTCGATCGAACTGACGGAATGCGGAAGTTTCTAGCGCTTCCTTTGTGGTTTGGGGCTTTCAACATCCCCTTTTGACAACCTCATCCCCGCGGTAACTTGAATTCAACCAGGGTCCCCGCCCCTGATCCGGTCGGAAACGAAAAAAATAAAACGGGTATGAAAAGAAATTTATGCGGCTATGGAAGTCAGTAATGTGCTGCCGTTTCTTCATGTTGTTTACTGTTCTCTGCATGATCTGTGTCACTTACCGCTCGACCTGAGATAAAAAAGGCCCGTATCCGTATACTAGTCTACCCAGAATCGGGTCGCTTCTCTGTGGAATTGTTGGTAACCGTCGGAACCGTGAGAGGTAAAACACTTGGCTGAGTTTTAGTATATTGATAGTGTAACTGCAGTTACGGGCCTGAGCAGGCTTTCGGCAATTGTAGTTATTTCCGGAGCTATCGCTTTTTACACTGCGGTTGACTTGGTTTGATTTTTTTGGGTTTCATCTGTTTATTAGCCTCCCACACAGACGTTCTTAAGGACGTCTACGTGGGAGGCTATCTGTTTATGTTTTCCTTGTTTCTTTAGTATCTGTAACCTTGGCTACGGTCTTTGCCTCTTTGAATCACAAGGATCTTTCGCGTGCTCAGAGTTTTTTTTTTTTAATTTTTGCTTTTTCATTAGACACTTGGCCAGAGGGAGCCTGTGGGAAGAAGATATTTAAAGGGGGGGGGGGGGGGGGGGGGGGGGGGGGGGAAATTTTTTTTCCAATTTTGGGCCTCCCGCGGGTGGGGGGTTTTTTTTTTTTTTTTTTTTGGTTGTTTTTTTTTTTTTTTTCTGAAATTTTCTAAAATTTATTTTTTCAACCTTATAATATCCAGATAAAAAAAATTAAAAACAAAAAAAGAGAAAAAATAAAAAATCTTTAAAAAAAAAAAATACATTTATTCCTATATTTTCGTTTTAATGGACCTATCAGTGGGGCCGCCGGGGGGGGGGGGGGGGGGGGGGAGTGTATTTCGGTCCAAAACTCAATGGATCGGTTCGGTCCAACCGGAAAAGTTTCGAAAAAACGGGTCCACCTTTTGAGGTGGACCACTTTTCCCGGTCGGACCGGTTGGAATTTTGGTTGAATGGATCGCGCCCACTGTCACGTGTTTTACTAACGACGTGTCCTGAAGAGGACTAAAGTTTTAGAATCATATGTCTCTGAGAGATGAAACCTTTGTCTGAAGTCCGAAGTGCGAAGCTCGACGTCTGTTGGTCTCATGACCGTCTAGTGGCACAGCTGTAGCGCTAGCTTTGTTTATTTTCCCACCTTACTGTATTGTTCATTGAAGCTTTAATCGAAAGGTTTTCAAAAGCTTTTGATGTAAAAACTTCAGAGGAATTGTCCATCAGTGTATCGTTCTTCAAGTCCAGAGTATACTTCTTGGAATGGTTTATTAAAGTAAGTTTTTAGGCAGACGAGTCCAATTTCCTTTGTTTCGTGAGAAGAGGACAAACAAAGGAATCAAGAAGCGTGGGTGACTTGAAAACTATGTAGAGTTTTGAGTAATAAGTGACTTTCAAGGCTCTCTTTTTTTTCCAACGTTTTTCGTTATTTTTTATAATTATCGATTGATGATATGAATTGTGGTCGTTTCGCCCGAAGGTCGATTCGCCTGAAGGCGTTCGTTCGCCAGGAGTTCAATCGATTCGCCCGATGACATACAACACTCTACAAGGTGAACCTACCTCTCCGAGATATTATATAGTTAACCTTGGATTCCACATGTGCAGTCACTGTCTTTCCTTGCTTATTCCTTTTTCTCAGGCGTTTAAAAGAAAGACAAATACACATATGGCGAACTGCCATAAGGCGAATCGACCTTCTGGCGAAATGACCCGATACCTTCATATTATTATTTACCGCTAATTAATTTGTGACGTCATCCTATTGCGTAAATTTCGTGGGAGGACTGGAACGAACTTACTCGGCGTTTTCGAAAAAGAAAATTCAACATGGAAGAAACTGCTGAATTACGGGTGAGAGAAAAACGAAAACTTCTGAATTTTCGAGGGAGCATATACTGATAAATTTTAACATGCTTTTCTTAATGTTTTCGCAGCATATGTTGATGAGTTTCCGCGTGTCTGAACTACAGTCACTTCTCGGTTTTGCGGGTCGTTCAAAGTCGGGAAGAAAACATGAGCTCATGGGTCGGGCGCTTCAAATGTTAAAAGGCGAAGGAAATCATGCCGTTCGAAAGAAACTGAGGGAGTTATACGAAAGACGATGTGGCCCACGGAAAGTTGTTGCTCCTCTACCTCAGCTTCGAACAGTTATTCCAGCGCCGGTACCATCGCAACGGCCATCGTCGATAAATTCAGACACGAGCGGGGTTCCCGTCCATCCGGATGTTCGACTCTCTCGCCTTCCTTTCTTTGAACATATCGACGATTTAGTAAGACCAACAAGCTTAGGTAAGTTTTAACTCTACAATTTGCCGTTGAAGATAAAGATTTTTTTCATTTATCTCATTTTCGCCTCTAAGTAATAAATCGTTATTTCTAGCCTAGCTTATGATACGACTTGATTTTTTGAAGATTTTCTTTGATGCGTAATGATAAATTGTTTATTCATCAGGGCAAAAATACTCATAATATCCACGTTAAATCGCATCTGTCTTGTCTTTCAAACGTATTCCCTTTGAATACAACTAAAATTTCGATGAATTGTGGAGACGAGTTATATTTATTCTCTGTTCTGAGTTATTGTCCTTCGCTGAACTCATGTTTTGTTTTTACGACGTTTACTTCGACAAGGAAACAGCTGAGTTTCTTTGTTTAAATTGTATTTTGGAACAATTTCTTCTTCGAAAAATCATGTTTAATCTACAAGTGTGCTTTGTCTAATTTGTCTGAAGGTGCTGAATGATTGTAGCAATATAAGCTTACTAATGCTTAATCGAAGGTGGTGTTCTGTTAACATGTTTTGATGCGTTTATATACATTTATTCTCGTTTTTTATGCTTCACTTGTGTTGCAAAGGGTTGGAGATGTTCAAAATTACTTGTCAACAAGTTAGTCGTAAAAATTTAATTTTATCCGTTAGTGTCTCGAGAGATGTACTCACTAATTATCAGATTAGATCATTTCTTATACAATCCTCTGCCAGTAAAATTTGTGTCATGAATTGACATCATAAACAGAGAATGAGAAGTCATTACATTTGTTCAGACTTTTATCAGTTTTGCCTTTAGATAGTTAGGTATCAGAAAGTTTTACTTAAAACAATATCAGGATCACGCTAATTACACAATGGTGAAACTTTCTATCAAAAGAATGAGGAAAATGAACAGGGCATGCATTGATTGCAAGTTTGATGCTGAATACAGCACTTTTTGATATTTTGCTTGAAGACAGTGCGAGTCGTTACACTAGCACCTAAATAAGCTAAGAAATATTTCAAGACAAGTAAATTTTAAATTCTTCAAGTAAAAGGAAGCTTCATACACAAACTGTCTTCCTTACTTCATGTTAACGTAAGGCTATTTTCCTATGCAACATAATTAAGATTGATCGATATGCTTCACCTTTCTCTAAGCTCCAAAAACCGCAAGTTTGCTAATTGGGTTTTAAGGATGGTTTTCAAGTCACTTGACACTTTCTTGAATCGTTTCAACTTTCCGACTTTAATGATATGCAAAGTAAAATAACTTGATATTTTACTTAGGCCTTCACGCACATATCTTTGGTTAAGTAAAACTAAGCAGCTCTTAAGTCTTACTTAACAGCCTGGGCCCAGTTGCGCGAAGCATGGTTAGCGTTAACCAGCGTTTAATACCTTGACAACGTATTGGTTTTGATACTGCTTAACCAATGGTTAAAGCTAACCATGCTTTGAGCAACTCAGCCCTGGTGTACAGAAAACGAGCGTTTGACATGGACTGAATTTAACGAAAAAGTGCCGTAATCTTCTATAAAGCGATAAAAAAGAATCTATAAGCATCCATAATACTCCAAAAAGAATCTCACTCGTACCTATTTAAAAGAAAGAAAAAAAGCATGCTGTTTCATGGAATGGGAAAAGTTTGACACTTCTTAAGGCGTTTGTCTTACAGCACACCGGAACCCATGTATCAGTACCAAAGTAAAGGGTGGACCTTGTATAAGTATTCCATACATTCTGTAATGTCTGGGGCAAACAAAGTCATTATTAAATAATGACAAATTTTGTCTTACTACATTGTTCATTTGGGTTAGAGTGTTAGGGTTTCACTGCATACATGGCAACTCTCCCTGACTATCTATAAATCTCCTAGATACAACACAGATCTCCTTGTCTCTTATATGGGTTACCAAAGCTCCTAAATGCAAAAGGCTTGGAAGTCTTCTATTCTATAGCCATGCTCCTGACAAAGATCATCTGTATCAAGTTATAGTTTTAAATCAAATGCTGACAGTCCATATTTCACATTACACTCCATAATTATAATGTCCCAAGCCACACCCACATAATTTAGAGACTGATCAAGTCAATTTGTGTTAGGGGTGGCTAGTTCCTGGAAGGTCACAGTCCTCAAAACTCTTGGAGTTTAAGCTCTAATCCTCTGAGTTTGAAAGAAGGGTACTGGAGAATTAATTTATAAAGTAATGGCCAAAGGGAAAATGCTGTGATCTTTTATGAAATTCACTCTTAACTATTATTAGTTTAAGGAAATGTGTAGGGATCAGTCTGAAGAATGTATGAGTAGATATTGGGGTTAAAGGGGTTCTTTAAATAGTGATTCAAAACTGAGGCCGGGCATTGAAAGTTCATTGTAATAAGTATACACTTTTTTTTTAATTAAAACTATCTCTTGAGATAATTTTGACTATTGCATGGCCATTCAAAGCCTTGAAGTTTTGATACATCTTTAAATGTCATTACCTGGTTATTGTCAGTGATAGCTTCCCTTTTTTCTTTGTAGTCCCACGTGGAATGTCACAATTTCAAGAAGCATATGTCATGTTTCATTTGACACCAAGCCAAGTACAACTTATAAGTAATTCAAGGTGAGATTTAAATGAGGCAAGTGAGTTCAATATTGAAGTAGCCACTGGTATCAAATTTGATGATAGTAAAATGTTTGTGTGTATTTAATTCAGTACTTGTCATACCAAAAATGCTGGGATAAGTTCACAGATTTAGATGGGGATGCTTATTTGATAGGGGTGCATATGTCACTTTCTAAATTTTGACATTAAAATAACATTGTCTAAATTTCGAGTAAACACATTGTAACTAATCTAGAACAAAGATCTTAAAAAGAACAAACACAAATCTGAGCGGTCACTCTCAAAGTTAGGTCATCTAAGTTGCAGTTTCCAAATCTTTATATTCTACTTCTTTTGCTGTATATTTTGCTTATTGTTTATTGTTTATTGTTTTATTTGCCAAAAATTATACAAATCAAATAAAATCTAATTACTTAAACTCTCATGGCGAGGAAGCCCAAGAGAAGCCACCGGGCTTATAAGGAATGGGCTCCCTCAGTTAGATAATTAGAACAAAATATTATCATAATTACACATGGGAAAATCAATGGCAGAGCTACAGTAAATCTTAAAATAAGTATATTAGATAGTCGTACTAATCATAGTTCTAGGCTAAAAAAAGCGAAATGACAAAAAGAAAAAAACAAAACAAAACAAATGAAAATAAAAGAGCAAAGGAAGAAAAAAAAATGTACATATATATATATATATATATAAATTACTATTTATGATAAGAGGAATGCTTTCAGCTTACAGCAAAAGGAAGCGGTACTTGTTGCATTTCGAATTTCAAAACTAAGAGAGTTAAAAAATTTAGGACCTTGGAAACTGATGGAGAACTTTCTTATATTAGTCCTGCATTGTGGTAAATAAAAATGCTCCGAACTTCTAGTGCCATAAGAATGCACCTGGCGTGTCACCAGAAACATGTTATTGAAGCTATAAGGAAGTAAGCCAGATCTGTATTGATACATAAATTTTCCTATTTGAAGTTTGTAGATACTCTCAAGATTCAGAATTTTTAAATTTTTAAATAAGGGGTCAGTGTGAGCATCGAAAGCACTCCTCGACATTATTCTTACGACCCGTTTTTGAAGTGTGATTAATCTTCTGAGGTTTGATGGGTAGGTCGATGCCCAGACGCTCACGCAGTAGAATAAGTATGGGTAGATAAGGCTAAAATAAAGCATCCGTAAGGAGGAATTATTAAGGCAAAAACTTGATTTATAAATTATACCTATGGCTTTAGACACTTTCCTAGCAACATTATGTATATGTGATTTCCATGTTA